TCAATTCGTCACTCAATCGGCCTTTGGAGTAACATTTAACTGTTTCGACAACTTTAAAAGCGTTTGAGCTGGATTCTCGTCAAGCAATTCTTGCAGTTCGACATCTTTTTCGACAAATTTTTTTGGCTGTCCTGGACGTTCTTTGTCTCTCACATCAATATCACAGTTTCGGAAGCGTTCAAACCAAACTTTACATGTTCTTTCCGATGGAGTTTCATCACCATACACTTCGGATAATAAGCGATGCGCTTCAGCTGCGGTTTTCTTGAGGTCGAAGTAGTGAAGAAGCACATGTCGGAAAAACAGCTTATCGCGATTCATTTTCAATCTATTGGAAAATCTCTTTGGCGTCGAGAAATTTAACCTGTGGAGATTTTATCACTTTCAGCGATGTCTAAACTACAAAAGACATATGACTTCATTGTCGAAACTCGCCAGCGTTGGAGCCAGCACCCTCTAGTAGCGAGCGATAAGAATTAAGTTTAGCACCTAATAGTTACATTTTATCGGTAACTATTAACTTTTAATTTGATTTTTTTTTAAGTCAATCCTTAGATACAATGCGAAAGACTAATGAGTATATAATTTATATTGTATAATCGTTACTTGTGAACAAAAATAATCAGATCAAATAAGTAAACTGTAAAAAAGAAAAAATATGAAAAATTATGTAAAATTGTTGTGTTTTCGTGACGCTGGTGTCACCTTGTAAGGAAGACTCGTTCGCCGAGGCGGTTGTAATAACGACAATTCTCTTTGTTGGAACGAATGAACTTTTATTGTTGAATCAAATTAAAATGTATTCGAAACAAGCGATAGGCGATTCTCGCAAGCCGATAATGGATGCACTCGTTTAGATATGTGCACCGGTAATTTGCACTCTGTACGACATCAAGTAATGTCTCGCAGCTAGCAACGGAATGTATATAGCGAGCAATAACGAGATTGACACATCTCGCTGGCTACGCAGGTAATTCTTGCTCACAGAATGCCGTCGCGTATATCGGTAACTTTACGTGACACGGCAACGATGATACGCAACGACAACTTGGTTTGGTTCGCTTCGCTTTAAGACTCGGACTCAGATTCGAGAAGAACGAATAAGTGTTATTGATCCGTATCGATCTGGATCGGGAAGCGAACCGAACTCTCGCACGCGGAACGTATGCGCGATAGTCAGCTTTTCGGGTGTCGCGCAAGAAGAGTCGCGTGTCATCTGAAATAGACAGATTGGTTAGAACAGGAGCGAGATATACGCGTGTTTTGAACGGTATCGATGAGCTATTGACTTGTCGTCCCGGAGAATATATTTAATTAACGATGATTCCGGAACAAAAATAGTCAAACTTTTTCTTTTTTATTTTTATTGATTGTTCGTTCGATTAAAGTTTAACTTTTAACTTTTTAATTACTTTTTTTATTAATTTAACTTTCAATTTAATTAATTTTATTATGAATTAACTTGTATTTTAATTAAATTTTCAAAGCTGTTAACTTTAACAATGATTTGGTTTGAAAGGCTTTTTCCACGAACGCTAGATAACGGTAGCGAAAATTTAAATTTGTTTATATTTAATACATAGAGATATAAACGTTTCGGTCTGTAATCAGACCATCTTCAGTATTAAAATTAATTTTTTGTAAAATAAACTTAATATAGCGACTCAATCGATTGAGACAGACCGAAACGTTTATATCTCTATGTATTAAATATAAATAAATTTAAATTTTCGCTATCGTTATCTAGCGTTCATGGAATAAGCCTTTCAAACCAAATCATTGTTTTCATTTGATCCACGGTTCTTTTGTTGTTTGCTGTTAACTTTAACTTAACTTAGTTAAAAAAAAGTTAACTTTTATAAAAATCTTGTAGCTAAGAGAATCTCACGAAGAACGAGTTTTATTACTTGTAACAAATGCAGCTACGTTTATGTTAAAAGCTAGAAGAGATCTTAAAATCTTCTATCCAAACATTATATACCTAACATGCTTGGTGCATGGATTCAATAGAGTGGCTGAAGAAGTTTGCCTTCACTTTCCTCTCATTAATATTGTAATATCTTCAGTGAAAAATATATTTTTGAAAGCTCCGCTTCGTATAAAAGAACATCGAGCAAAATTGATAAATATTCCGTTGCCATCTGAACCAATTTTGACAAGATGGGGAACATGGCTTGAAACTGCACTTTTTTATGCAGATAATTTAACTGGCATTCGAGAAGTAGGCATTAATTAATTTATTTTATCCAATAATTAAAAATAAAATTGAACTTGATAAAATAAAATTGTGATTTGATCATAAGTTGTTAAGTCTTTCAATTCAGAAGATGCTACGTCGATTGTTTCAGCGAAGAGTGTATTTCAAAATTCACAACTTGTCAGAGATTTATGTTATATATTAAAACATATTTCAAAAATTTTACAACGATAATGCCAAAACTGGAATCAGTAGGATTCCTTTAACTAAATCAACTGAAATAGCAAGGTCATGTATTGAAGATTTCAAAGAGATTCCAGAATCTTGTGGACAAATAGTTTTAAAAAAAATGTAGATTCTAAACAGTGCACAGTGAGATAGATTGCCGAAAAAGTGGCCAAAAGTAAACTTTCTAATTTTGATAAACTAAACATATAGCACTCATGTAGACACGTCAGAGGATGTATTCTCAACGTTTTAGAACTGTTGGTCAAGTACTTGCTTGTTGATAGGAATAATAACTTGAAAAATTGCATAAAATCTGTAATAGACATTGTACGAACAATAGCATTTATACACTGTTAATCAATTATATCATTCGAGTTTTTTTATTTTATCGTTCTCTAACGAAAGTATACAAATCATGAAAATAGCAGACATTATTTGAATATTGATTCTGAGAGTATTAAAACTGTTATACTAGCAAACAACTTACTACTTTCTTCAGAGTTACTGGTTACTGATACGTTGTTCCACGATGTTCCACCTCGAATCGATCAATTCAACATGTCAATCTATTTCTTAAGATGTGTGCTTTAATGTAGATATGCTACTTTTTGCTACATTTCGATTTGATAACAAATATCACTTATACAATTATGAACGTGCAAGCTCGAGAACATTAATTTTAGGAGCATTTAAGGGGATAGGTTGCCAAAGTAGCTGCAAAAATTCAAAGTTCGATTATATGTCTACTTATATGTATGTCATATACATATACGTCATATTTACTATCGCGCGAAACTATTATAATTTACTTTTTCACCACTACGCGGCGCGCATTCCCGCAAGAGGAACGCAGCAAACTGTGTATATATTAAGAGAAGCGCGCGCTCAGCTTTGCGCAGATTTCAGTGTTGCTGTTTTTAGTACAAATGTATTTTTTTATTAGATTTTGATCTATTTTAGAACGTCATTACAAAATGCAATAAATCTATTACATTTTCAGAACTTGATCCAGTAAACGCTTTATGCGGAAATCATTCATCAATTGTTCCTCTCGTTAAGCAATTTCCTAATTGCGTTACATTAAATGATTTGGAAGTTCTGAATTTAGAGTGAAGATTATTACCAGGATATAAAAAAAAATTGCCATATTTTGAAGAACCTGAACAATTTTGAGTAGAAGTAGGTTCAATAAAAATATGAAATGAAATGGTTCTGCCAAAATTATTCGAATTTGCTACAGCAATGTTATCTCTACCTCATAGTAGTGTTACGTCCAAGCCCTTGGAAATGCGCTTAAATGGGAGAGACAAGAATGGAGTTATAGAGGGTATGGAAGGACGTTTAGACTTTATCTCGCAGGTATTCACGCAGTGGCGAACACCTGAGAGTCGGACGCACTTCTTATCGCTCCTGAATATGGGTCAACGTCCTGAAGGGACGCTATATTTCCTTGAGCAGTGCGTACGTCGGTCCAATTTTGAGTCAAAGAAATGAATCTTTATAACTCGGGAGTGGACCAGGTGGGATCCTTGGGAAACGGCGAGAGTAC